GTTCTCTGATCGTTAACACGGGGCCCCTGACATGCTATAACTCATGCTAACATGTGCTGTTGCACAAACTCACAGCTTCTTCAGCTCACTCTCCAAAGCCACAATGCAATGTAATAACACCTACAGAGAGCTTTTTATGAGACTGTCTCACATAATAATGCTATAAAAGCCAGATTTAAAAGATGGATTGCCATGGACTCCACAGACTTCACTTTTTAATGTTTACATAAATGCACCTTTTCTATGGTGTTTGAGATAATGGGCCTTCCCAAGTCATGAAAGTCAAGGCAACCATCAGCTTGCCCATCCTCCAGAAGTGGCAGGAAGCAGAGTGCTCTGGTGGGATTCTTCTGTCACTTCCCCAGCTCCACCTTTGCTGGGACGGGGCACAAAGCAGCTTGAAAAGACCCATTTGCTACAAGCATAGCCCTCCTGTGAATTCCTCATTCATAGGAAAAGTCTCTGGTGTGACAAGAATCCAGCCAGCCTTAATGTGCTATTGTTATACTACACTGAAGACAAAAGGAGCAGCATGGAGTTGTGATATGTTTAAGAGTGTTGCCAGAGGAACTGTCTTCCTCCTCAGACTGACTCCCTGGCTTTGTGCAGCTTACAGGCTTTAATTTGCCCATGACTAGGGTAAGCCTAAATCAGCCACTGGCTGACGTAGCCCATGTATAATAATCACTGCAACCTAGACAAGAGAAACCACTGTTTTCACAAACATCATTGCATGCCCAAGAGCCTCAGAGAAGGAAAGTAGCCCAAGCTGCACCAGTTGCAGGCTTCCTCTGGTGGCATACGAAGGCTCTTGGCTATGGGTGTGACAGCCAGGATTTCCCTGCCCTCATGTCAGATCAGATTCCACTTTTGGAAACAGTAAGAGCTGATCCTTCTTCATTAGCAACAGAAGGAGAAGGGATAGGAGATGGTGAAAGTTTTTACCCATTTGCTCTGGAGGGGGAGAATAAGCTGCACAGGAGAAAAGAAAAAGTGATGTGGTATGGCTTAATTGATCTGGGATGAGGAGATACTCCTCGTTCAGCAGCCAGAACCCCACTGAGATTGAGGAATTGCTGGAGATGTATGAATTCTGACGAGATCCCCTGTTAGTTAATCGGCAGCACCGATTTTGCTGTGCATTCCTCTTTCACTTGTTTAGCTTTTTCCCTGCATTAAAACCTGTCAAGCCAGCAAACAAGACAGTGTTTTTTGATTAGGCTGCTCAACTGACAATAAACAAGGGCTTGAAGAATTCTCACCTTCAGTAAAGCAGAAAGGAGGTGTGTGATCCTATTGTGATACAGCTAAGGTACATCATTAGGAAAGGAACTTTTTGGGCTGCCTTGACATCACCTTCAGTCCAGAGTTCCTCATCATCCATACAGTTCACACAGGCTCAGTTAGGAAGGGCTCTGGAGCTTCACAGAGGAGCCAGCCGTCTCCACTGTGAATATCAAGTGTGCAAGCTGTGGATCTTATACTTAAACCCAGCTCTAACTTCACATCCTGCACACATACAGAGGGAGAAATCCCAAGGCAGCAAGGAATTTGTTATTCTTTTGTGATTTGTCTACCTGCATTTTGGAAATAGAAGGGCTTTGTTCATGCCTTTCAAAAAGCTGCTGACAATCCAAACTGAGACATTAGTAGGCAAGAGAGGGCTGCATAAGGATGAGACTGAGCTGATGCATTGTCAGACTCTTCTTATTGTTCCTCCATATGCTCTCCCTGGCATCTGAACCATCTTGCCTGTCTTGTTGGATCCTTCTGTACAGGGTTCCACCTGCTAAGCAGTGGGGAGATGGACAGAAGATTGCACTTTCTGGCTACTTCCATGTCTCCGGCTTCAACATCTGTCCAGTTCTACCTCCTAGGCAAGGAAGCAACAAATTACACATTTCAACTTGCAAAAGCCTGTTGCCACCTTGCATGACAGCCCAGCAGAATGGAGGAGAGGGTACCACAGCTGGCTGCTGTGCAGCATCCTCTTGCATTCCTTCTCAGCACCAGGAAGGCAGATGTCTTGACAAATTGAATGAGCACAAGTGGAAAACAGTGAACACAAACACATCTGTGGTGGTGTCAGACATAAGAAGATGTTGGTGCTGCAAGATGACTATGTTGCCCAACCCTCTTCCCTCTAATGGAGCTACGTTCTCCAGGCATCAGTAGAGAAGGAGAGAGAAAAACTGCCATGCAGCCTGTGAACAGCTCAGGCTGGTAGATACCAGAAGGGCTCAGTTATACCTAATAAGCACTGTTAAGCACTGCACTACCCACCTTACCACCAAGTTACAGCCCCTCCAAGTAAAGGGGGAAGTTGAGGGATGGACAAAATGCTGTTATTCGAGGCAGAAAGACCTGTGGAGGGACTGGAGGGGTTGAGGAATAACCAGTCACAGAATTTGCCTGCATCCACCTGAGCCTTGTGTTGGTTTGCATGAGCGTGCAACACAGGACGATAGCCAAACTGACTGGGAATCTCTTGTCCTGAAGGGCCCCAATTATGCCTTTTCTAGGGAGAAGGATAAGTGATCACCCAATATACGCTTGTGGCCACACATACTCGTGTGGTATTCTCCTTCATGGAGAAAGCTCAATCTTCCTGTTCTCTCCTCCACACAGCCTGCAGCAGCAAGCCTCCTCCTTTCCCCTATTTGCATAAGTGATGATGCAGCCGTCCTAATTATCAAGGGAATCCACTGCTCCCCCCTTCCAGCACCTCCCCCCTAGCTGCTGCTCTTTCCCTGCTACGGGTTTTGCTGGCAGATGGAACCGGAGCCTCCTCAGCCCACTGGCTCTTCCTTGAAGAAGAAGAAAGTGACAGCCCTGCAGGCAGCCGAAAGCGGCTGAACCACAGCAGCATGATTAATCTGTCAGTCTGGAGCATCCCAAAGGCCAGCATCAAGGGTGTGCTCACACAGCCAGCTTTACTGGGGGGAAAAAGGGGGCACAGGATGGACCAGAGGGGTTGCACTATTGCCCTCACACGGACCAAGTACTCTCCCCTCACACTGCTGAGCTGTGCAAGCCGCATCTAAAGTCCCCCTTTTTGTACTGCAGTCTAAGTTCAGGGAAAGTTAGATCTGAAGCATCCAGTTGGGGAGTAACCAGACAGCAAGGATATTAGCAAGCTCATACATATGGAAGGATGACCTTACCAGCTCCGCTCAGTGCTCATTCTGCAAATCAGATATGATTTGCAATCAGCCATGGCCATACTTCCCCCTCAAGTCCTGTCCTTACAGCACTGCTTGCATATGTTTTCACCCATGGTTTTTGGTTTTTCTGTCCTACTTCCATACCTATAACCCATTACCTCAGAAAATTAGCAGTTACCCACAATGCCCTCTCTGCCACATATCTGTTGCTTTGTTTGTGTCAGGATTGGGTGCTTTACACAGAGGAAGATGTATTTTGTCATGTTATTTGTCTGCCTGTAACAAGATTGCTGGCAAAGTCCAGACAACAATAACTGCAGCCACAGGAAGGCCCATTTAGCATGGTCTGGTCTGTATGCAACTTGCTTTTATGTACTTGTTTTAATGTACAGCATCAGATGGTCTACCCATGTGATCATCCTTTTCTGTATGCCTGGAGATGCTCCAAAGAGCTGATGAATCAGTTGGGATTATAGACAAGAGTGAGTTTAGTTATAGACCCTGGGGAGAAATGAGGCCTGTGTGGAAGGAAGTAGGACAGGGGAGATGAAAATAGTCTATCAGGAAAGCAAGCCAAAAATTTGCCGGAATACCAAGCAAAATGCAAGCCAGCCTTCTTCCTTACTCCAACCCATGGGCTCCAGCATCCCACAAGCCATCAGCTGAGCTGTCAGTACACAGTCAGCAATTCTAGGACATGCATTTCAAGACTCGGAGCTGCAAAGCACGAAAGTCAGATTTGGGAGTGTGGAATAGAACAGCAAAGGATGGAATCAGCATCCGTTTCAGATAGTACAAGGAAAGGCTAAGCACCTTCTCCTCTGTCCTGGCCAAGACTCTTTCCTACATTGGTTCTGCTCTGAAAGGACACCAGAGGAAGTCAACCACCCCTTCTCACAGCAACCTTCCACATATGGACTTTCCTGGGTATAGACCCGTGGCTGAACCAACCCTATTAAAGCTTTAAGGCTGTAGAGAGCTTGCACCACTTTCCTTATTGAGAGACCTGGCTCTGGGATCTGTGCTCAAAGATCACCCTCTGCTCTACCTTCCTGTTGGATCTGTTCTGTCATTTTCTACTTGCTCACTTCCTTCTCCCAGCCAGTATCTCGGTTGGATCTGACATGCCCCATCTGCAAATATCCCCATCCAGCCTTTCCAGAGCGGACACAAACATTCACAGCTCCAGCCAGGGAAGAGGTAAATTCCCCCCTGCAGATAGATTCTACAAGAGCCTTTCACCAGGCCCTTGTGCCACAAACAATAGCCAGATGGCCTCACCACACGGGGTCCTACCACATTTTGTAAGTGGCAAACGTGCCAACTCTCTCTTCCTTGCTTGCTTTGAAATGCTCACTCTCCCCACAGCACATACACACGCTCTCAGTTGTCCTGCTTTCCACATTCCAGGTTGGCAATTAGAATCTGCAACCTCTGAGCTTCTCCACAAACTGATGAGCTGCTAAAAATACAGCCCCTGCAGGCTCCCATTCAACTTCTATTTCTGTATTTTTTATTATTTATTTCTTTTTACTTTTGACTTCTTTTTTTTTTTAACCAATTTGAGATGAACAAAGCACTTCAACAAAAGGGAAGAGAAAAAGCTGTGATTGCGAAGATGGATTGCTGCCATTTACTTTGTTCATTTTAATTATACAAAGTCATCACTTAGCAGGGAGCCTCAGGATAGGAAAAGAGAGCACAAAGAAGTTGCCATATCCTACCTCTTTACATCACCATGCTCCATTTGAAAGCTTCCTCTGACATCCTGGGCAACAAGACCTGAACTAGTACTTCCATACTTTTAAATCCTTTCACGTTTTAGAGGTTACCCACCTGCTGTGTGTCTTCAATCTCAAAGGTCCTTAAGGGTCCCAGTCCTCCTTGTAAAACCATACTGAACCAACAGGAACAAGCAGGCTCTTCACTCCTCCCAAAGCTGCACCACCCTCACTCCCCCATCACCCTGCAAGGTGTTTATGAACTTCTCCTAACCAATCCTCTCTTGTCACCTTCTACATTGGCTCCAGCTGGGAGCTGAGCTTGAAAACAACTAAGAAGCTTTAGGACAATTAAGAAGTTCAAGGCAGAAAAGTGCAAGCTAGTGCCTGGGTAAGGCCAGGAAGCAGGACAGCCTCCCTTTTGTCTTCACTAGCAACAAAATCCATCACCTGGGACAAATAATATTCCCTTTACTGAATCCTTGTTGGCAGACTAATAAAGAGTTAATCCCCCTGAAGTTCTATGTGTTATTCAGACTGGGATCTACCCCTGCCTGTGGCAGGGGGTCGGAACTAGATGATCTTTAAAGGTCCCTTCCAACCCAAACCAGTCTATGATCTGTCACTTGGCTAATGCAAGGTGTTTTGGAGGAAGCTATCAAACTGAAGCATTGAAATCCACAAGCTGGAGGGTCTAAGGAGGCTGCTGCATGTTTCCTCAGCCAGCATAGACAGAAGTGATGTGTTCACCTCTCAATCACTGCAGATTTCAGCTTGATAGACACCAGTTTTGGTGTAACCCAGTACTCCTGCAGAGGCTGAGGGCAGCTGTTGCCCTCCCTGTCCTGCAACAAGGCAGTGACATCTGGAAAAAGACATTGTCCATTGGAACAACTGAGCAAAGACCCTAGCAAAATCACTGTCTTGCTGGATGGAAAGGCATTCAGCATGGGCTTTCCAGCAGCGCCACTTCTGCCAGTCTTTGGGCCTTTCTTGCTCATCTGAACCACTCAGTTCAGAGGATGATGAGAGCTTCCTGCACCCCATTAGAGTACTTGTACAGAAAGCAATCACTTTTGGTATCATTGTTTCTGATGGCAGCGTTGGAACTTGATGATCTTTAGGTCCTTTCCAACCCTAACTATTCTATGATTCCCAAATCCAGTAGCTGTCTTTTATTCTCATGAGGTTGGAGCAAACTGTCAGGTCTTGGGAGACTGAGGGGAATTCAGCCCCTTCTCCCTTTTAACCCTGCTGTTCCTCAGGAATGAGCCCAGCTCCTCCATACAAACTGTCACCAATTGGCTACTGCTGTGAGTTTGCAGCTTTTTTATTGAGTGGGTTTGGTTTTCACTCAGGAATTTCTATGACAATTTTCTGGGTATTTGTGCTTAGACATTTTCTCCACTCACATAATTACCACCTTGTTCCTTGTTTGACATAGATTTTCTCTCTTGTACTTATATCTTCAGTAAACTGTCGCCTTTCTTATTTAACTACAGGGCTTATAGGTATAGGCTTATAGGACATATTAACCACATGTCTTTTCACTCTAAGGCCTTCAGGTTCTATTTCCATTTGCTCTGCTGCTTCTGGCATCAGTATTAGCTTTTTCACAGCCAGTATCAGGTCCTTAAATTGGGTTTTGTTTACATGCCCTTCTCATATTTTATATTAGAAAGTATATTTAGTATATACTTATACACATATGCTCTCCATGTTCTTGGTGATTACTAACATTGTCTAACTTTCAATATTTGCAGCCTTCAACTTTTAATTCTAAGTTTGTTCCCATGCTCCCTTATTACCCCCTTTCTTTCTGGATCATGTTCAATAGAGAAGACTTCCACAGACACCACGCTGTTACTGTTGTTGTGGTTGCTATTTGCCTTCAAATATTTAGAGCATTTCTTTCAAGGTTTCTTTCTGTTCAAACTCACTTGGTAAAGGTTTTGCATTGACCTTCATGAATAAAGTGGGGGGGAGGTTTCTAATCATTCCACTCATTCCTTCTTTTTCCACACACAGGTAGAATTGGATTTGGATAAGAGTCAGATTTGCTATTTCTAAGAGAGCTCCTGCAATTTTGTTTCAAAGAAAATTTGATTCCTGAAGATATGCCAAATTTTAGGAACTCTTCACAAAATGACTTCACTTGAACAAGGTTTTTTAAAACCAAAGTGATTTGTTTGGAAAACATTGAAAATAAATTGACCTTGGAAGTGGATTGAAACATAAAAATTGTGACTATCATGAAAGCTGATCCATTTGGTCATTAAAAATCATAGCAGGAGTAACAGAGCTCTGAATTTTAAATGAATGCCGTTAAGAATGAAGGTTGCACAGAAGAGGTGAATGTGACAGGATCCAGTAAATTGGTACTGCAGAAAGATGTGGCAATCCCCTCTCCACAGCCCTAAACTGATGCTTTGTCTTGCTCCCAGTTACCTTTACTCATTCCTTTATCTTATCCTTTGCACGGTATTAGCCTCTGTGAAGGTCTAACACTGCTGCAGCACTGCCACCTCCACTGTCTGAAGAACAGTTGAACTGGAAGGCTATCTTTCACATAGCAGATGTGGGATAAGCTCTCTTTGTGACAAGCAACCAAAAAATGACTGAAAGGAGGTATTAAGGACCATTCATTCAGATGCTCTGTATGACGGACCACAGACAAGTGCATCTATCCCAACTTTCAGAAAACAAATGACTGTGCATTCCATAAACCCCCACACTCATTTATGGCTCAACATGCTCCTCTGTATTTCAAAACCATCAGCTGAAGTGTTTTCAACAGCTTTTTATCCTGGTGATTCTTCAACTCACTGCCCAGCCAGCAGAAAGAACACATTACATATTAGGACTGTCAATGGAGAATGGTAACAGTAGCCTGGTCTGGCTGAGCTAGCTTTGTGCCTCAGTTTCCCTACCTGCAGTAAGGAGAATACCACTGACCCCCAATCTAAATGCTTTAAGAATGCTGTTGCCCAGAACTATCTCACAGTTTTCTGTATCTATGCACAATATGAGATTTGCTCTTCCCCTATTGGTTTATTTTCCAGTTAACCACAGCATTTTGTTGTTTCTCATCACTCAGAGCTATTATTAACACCATTCTGGAGACATGAAGTGCCTCTACATGCACCTCTGATAATTAGTCTAAAAATCCTGCTGGCGCTGATATAGCCCTTGCAGAATATATTAGGAGTAAAGCCAGTGCCAAAAAGTATTTTGGGACTCAATAAGCACACCTGAGATCAGAAATAGAAGAGGCCAGACAGGATTTTTGCTGCACAGAAGGTGAGCAGGGCAAGGTGGGAGTAAGGAGCACTGCATGTAAAGACTCAGCCTTTTTCCCTATGTAGCTGTTGCAGTCACTGACTCCAAGCCCCCCTCTCCAGCCTGCCCTGGCTCTGGCACAGGATGGACTCTGCAGGGCTATAGGCATCTTATTGCTGTGAGCAGCCTGCTGTCACAGGCTGTACCTGCTTTGCTCACACCTAAAGCTGGCTCTGTTGGGAAATTAAATCTGAGTCACATCCACTCTGTGACTCCCAAAGCTGTGCACGACTTTTAGTAATGCTGACAGGTTTAGCTTTGCTTCGCTGACCTCTCTAATTCAGGGGCAGATGGTCAAGTCTTGTATATTTGAGGAGGAAGACTCAGAGCTGGCTCTGCACCTCTTTTCTGCCGTGCATCCCTCTTGTCTCTCCCCCACGTGTCTCAGGCATGTCTATTCTTAGATCTGTTCAGCAAGTACTTGCAGGGTCAGAGTGTGAGTATGACAGTGGGACAGGGCTGCTGGAAAGGAGTCGGCCTCACCTAAGGACTTGTACCCCTTGCTCACAGCTTCTTCATCCCTTTCTTGCACTCTATCCATGCAGGACCATGGAGGTGAGGAAGAGGCCTTTAGGGAGAAATAACCTGGGAAGAAGTATGGAAAGCAGCTGTGGTGATCCCCCTTTTCCTGTGGTCACCCATCAAAGCAATGTGGGTCTCTCTGACATGGGCCTGAGATGAGTGATGCTGTATGGGTGGTGAACGCTCCCCCTCCCCTCTTGTTCCCATACATCACCACTGCCGCACTGTACACACTGATTAGCCAGGATTTCCAGGCCAGAACCCTTCACAGGGAGTTTACATGGAGGAAAATGTTATCTCTAAGTGAAGAGCAGCACTTCATTGCTTTTCAATCCTTCTGCTGACGCCAGTTCACAGCCTGCAGCTGACTCCAGAATACACCTAAAAATAAAACAACACCTGGGCCCTCTGCTGCTGGAGAGAACAGCCACAGTCTGCAATCAGCAGTGCTTGTGAGGATGCTCAGAGCACAAAGAGCAGACAGAGGGTCAGCCCCAGCCCCTCTACTTCTGCTACTGATTGCAAACATGGGCAATACCTCCTATGGAGCACGTTTCCCTGCTGCTCTAGTGGACATATTGTCATTCCCGTGCCGATCTTTGCTTTGATTGTAATCATACACAGACAGAGAAGAGGAAAGTAATGAGGCCACTGGCATGGAAAACATGCCTGGGAAAATGAGTTCTTAATGGGCAGGGCAGTTTTGGTGTCTTCTGGATGTGGCTTCTATGAGAGTAGTGTAATATGAACAGTAAAACAACTGCAGACACTGCACTGATGTGTAGGCAGGATGGGAAACATCCCTAGTCCCCAGGGAGACAAGGATGACTGGTGCATGTGCTATGTATGTAATTGATAGCTTAGGCAAGTGAGTCCCAGACTTGGGGTCGCAATGCTCACAGTTGCTGTAAGGCTGCATGACAGGAGGACTTGCTGTGTTGTCATGCTCTATTTGACTTGTGTCAAGACTCAGAGGCAGGAAGCAGCTTGAAAACCACTCCTAGAGAAAAACCATCAACATTAGAGGGGACTTAGTGTTTGTGGGGGTGAATGAGGGAGAAAAAGAGATGAGGGAGACTTCTTTACACTAAACAACCTCTCCATGGCTGTAAAGGTGAGCATAATGTTCCAAAACCAAACACACAGATAGGGAACAAATACCATTCATCAATCACAGGTTGGCCCAATTGGGTCACTAGATGCAAGACCTGTGTCACAGTTGCATAAGCTGACTGTGGTCCTACTGCCAAGCAACCTGGTTACATTGGGATGGCATACGGGAGCTGCATCTTCCACTTGCACTTCCAGCGTGTCATCCATCCTTGAGCCACGCACGGAACATCACCATGTCTCAGAGGGTTTGGGG